TCCTCCCTGTTAGGGTTATGTCCAATGCATGATACATTTTATTAAACTTTTGTTGGGAGACATCACAGATAAGTGTCCAAGCTTGTGTAATAGCTGGATCTTTACTCTGGAGGAGAACAACACACTGTTATGCTCCTCTTCTTAGATTCCTTATAAAAGGCCCGAATATCCCCAGTATGTGGTGAAATTGTCAGATAATCTGAAAGTTTATCTTGCAGGTGAGTGATGAGCATGTCAAACTGGGTCCTACATGGTTTAACCCGAGCACATGGTATCCTGCAAATGTGAAGAGGCAGCACACATTCTCCTACGATAGTTGATTTGAGGTGGTCTACATGCATCTCTTTAGCTATGTTGCAAGAAGAAAAGTCAACTATAAGCTTTTTATTCTCTCCAATGGCAGGGAGCTGAACTCCATTCACCAGGAGATTGGTCAACCTTTCTGATACAAAATCCTTTCTTATGTGGACATTAGTGACACCAGGACCAGCAATTTCAACTCTTTCAATACATTCATTATTTGGCAGGTGTTTGGTAATGTTTTTGGCAATTTCTCTTGGATTTGCTTTCTGTTCTTTGGTTTTGAGCATCTGAGAAATGTCTATGGTACTATTACACTGTTAATCTCAAAATTTGGGCTGCTGACTTGACGTTACTATCAGAAGAGGATTTTCTAGGTCTGGATGTGCAGCTGTAATGGCACAACCAAAGACTTCTTGAAGGCAGCTATTAATATTAATAATATTTTTAGTTGGTCTGTTCTTTTCTGCCTGAAGACTCAAAGAATATTCAACTGATACTTTAATTTTAAATTTTCTTCTTGAAACAGCTGCAAATTGGGAGAAGCTTCCAAACAGCTATAGTTTTTCTTTTTTCTTTTTTTGGTACTGGGGATCAAACTCAGGACCTTGTGCTTGCGAGGCAGGCGGTAGAACCACTGAGCTAAATCCCCAGCCCTAGCTATAGTTTTTCAACTGGTCAATTTCAGCAGTCAGAGACCTAATCTCTTTTTCCTGCTGCAGCAGCCACACATGGAGCAGGGAGCCACCAACATGCCCATCCTCCTGTAAGTGCTTCCTCATTCATTGTTTTTGACCAAAGTATCCATCAATATAAAATGCCATCTTTACCCTGTACCCTAGACTTTCTCCAATATGGCACTGAGCTGTGTATGTCATAAGTTTCAATATGCTAGTGGTTAGTCCCCTGTTTACCAGTTTTCAGAATTTTCCTGGTTATTTAAAATATTTATTATTCTCTATTATGACTTCTCAGCAGTGGTACTACTGACAGTTTTGTGTTTTTTTTGTACCAGGGGTCAAACTCAGGACCTTGTGGTTTCAAGGCAGGTGGCAGATCCACTGAGCTAAATCTTGGCCCACTATTGACAGTTTGAGAGGAGTTAACTGTTGGGAAATGTGTGCGTTTAAGACGTTTAGCAGCACCTCTGCCCTCTATCCACTAGATGTCAGTATCACCTCCCAGATGTGACACCAAAAATGCCTTCATATACTGCCAACCCCTAGAAACAAAGGGGCCCCCAATAAGAAATGCTGTTTAGATAAACCCTAGTATCATTTTATCCATGTTTCCACCCCTGAGTTCTCACTTATATTTTCATTATAATGAAAATTAAATCATAGAATAATTTAGGCATCCCTATTATATTTAATATGTTACACTATCACATTTGTTATTATAGTTAATCTTCCCACCCCAAAACCATGTATTTTATCATTCCACTTATTTATGCTTTCTTTGAAGGACATAAACTTGTCCTCCAAAGGATTTTTAGATTTTTTAACTATATTGGCTCTTGAACTATTAAGTTTATTCCTATTCATGAACTATTAAGTTTATTCCTTTTCATGCTTTCATAAATGGGACTATTTCTTTCTTTTTTTGGTACTAGGGATTGAACTCAGGACCTTCTGCTTGTGAGGCAGGCAGCAGAACCACTAAGCTAAATCCCCAGCACAATGAGACTATGGCATTATTATCTTTTCTAGCTAATAAGAAAGGTAGCTATTTATTTATTCTGAGATAGGGTCTCACTGTGTTTCCCAGGCTGGCCTCAAACTCCTCGGCTCACATAATCTTCCTCTCTTACCCTCCAAGAAGCTGGGATCCTAGGTGCACACCACTGCACCTGGCAGGATACATCTATTTTATGTCATGAAAGCAGTCTCTATACATTTAGAATTTACCAAATGTTTATTATTAAATCAGAAAGATTGCTAACTGTGAGACGTACATCTTCCATATCTATCATCTTCCATATCTATCGAGGTGACCATGTGGTTATTTTCCTTTGGGCTATTAATTCTGTATACTAGATTATATTCAGATTCCCTAACATTCATTCATTTTTGGGTGGCATAATTCCACTTGGTTGTGCTGTACACATCTGTCCTTTTAATTTCTTTTTAAATTCTATTTGCTAAGATTTTGATTTCACATTTTTGCATTAATATTTGAGAGTAAGGCTGCTCTGTCATTTTTTGGTAGTCCTTTATTTTTTGGAATCAGTTTTAGGCTGGCTTGATAAATATAAGCTGTACTTTCTCTCTTGTTGCTTTTGCTGTCTTCCACTGCCATGAACTGTTGTTGCCCCTCTGCCATCCTGCCTTGGAGCCAGTCAAATATGGACTGAAACCTCTACAAAGAGTAACCAAATAAACTCTTTCCCCTCTAACTTTGGGTGTCAGGTATTTTATGTGAGCAACAAGAGAAAAGTAACTAATACATCCATCTTACTCAGACAGTCACAGCCATCTATAGGATCTTTCTCAACTGGGAGTGGAGAGAAAGCATAGGAAGTCATTGTAACAATCCAGAAGAAAGGTGGCAATACAAACAATTCGATGGATAAGAGGAAATGAAGCTGATATAGTGGTGCATGCATGTAATTCTGGCATTTGGGAGGCTAAGGCAGAAGGATTAGAAGTTCAAGGCCAGTCTGGGCTACATAGCAAGTTTAAGGTCAATCCAAACTAATAAGACGCTCAAACAAAAACCAAGCAGATCGAGAGAAACTGAAACTGAATGGGTAGACACTATGACAATAAAAGATAGCCATGTACTATGAGAATACAGCAAGGAACGCTGACATAGGCTGAATACCTGTCATGTTCAGTATGATGCTTATATGTGGACTACACTTACTCATTTAATTATTGGAATGATTCTGTGAGACAAGAAGTATCATTACCTCCATTTAAAAATGAAGAACAGGAGCCAAGGATGTAGTTCAGTGGCACTGTGCCTGCCTGGCAAGCACAAGGTCCTGAGTTTGATCCCCGGTACCAAAAAAATACCCCTAAAATGAAGAACAGATATTTAGAGAAATTAAGAAGGCTGCCCAAAGGCATAAAACTGATAAACAAAATGCTCGATTGGGACTCAGATTGAAGCTTGAGCCTGCACTTTCAAATACTGCAAAATAAATAACAAAATCACATCTACATTTTAAGCCATTAAAATGCTGAAACTTCAGAGTCAACAAACGCGTGCCTTGGCTTCTCTCTCCAGCACCCAGAGACATCTTACACCACACGGGGATTCAGGCGCAACTGGTCAGACTGGACACTGACACAACCCCTAAACCTGTGAACAGGGAAGCATAACTAGCATTCTAAGACTCTTTTGTGCAAACTAGAAAACTAGTCTCCTTTGTGCAAACTAGTTCATCTGGGTGGATGAACTACAAAATGGCACTGCTGCCTCCAGAAGCCAGCTAGAATTCAGCCCATTCATCAGCACCACCGCCACCCACCCCTCTCCCTGTGTGGACCTAGTGGACACAGGGCCCTCCTGGTGAACCTATTCCTAGATTCTTTCCTCTTGGTTTATTCTGTTGTTTCAAAAAATATTTTAAAATATATGCTAATTTGTTTCCTTTATACTACTAGTTTCTCTTTGTTCACTGAAAAGTAACTTTTGTCCTTTTATTTGTTTCCTTCTTCTTTGTAAGAGACTTTTTTGTCTTTGATTTGTACTCTGAATAACATTTTTGCCACCCTTTTAGATCATGACCCATAATGTATTAGCTACTGTTATCCTCTAGTTATTCTGTTATGAAATTTTGTTTGTTTTTCATAGAAGTAAAAAGAGTGTTCTTCATATATTTTTTATCAATATTTACTTGTATTACATTAAAATAAAAATAGAAATTTCTTTTATGCAAGAGATATATAGTTAAAATAAATTACAGTATTTATAATAAAGCAATTTACAAAGAAAGATTCTGAAAAACAAAAAAAGTTGTACTTTCATTTATTGTATTTTATTTTTGGGGGGGGGGTTGATACTGGGGATCGAATTCGGGTCCTTGGCACTTGCAGGGCAGGTGGCAGAACCACTGAGCTAAATCCCCAGCCCATTTATTGTATTTTAAAACCAAATGTGTATGTATATTTAGTATGAAATCCTCCTTAAAATGGTAAAACTATTATACAGAAACACCAGGCCACTCCCTTTACCTCCAAAAGCCACATATAACCTTCAAAGATTCAACTTTTTGAAAACTGAATACAGTAAATTAAAACATGCCTTCAGAAAAGTAGTGTGCAGTGTGATGTTTTATGACAAGAGCACAAAAATCTTAAGTATAGCAACATTCAACGCCATTATAGGTTAATGATGACCTATTTATTTTCCCATTTTAGACAATTGAACATTCTGTTGAAAGCTGCATTTTAACAGCGAGACCACAAAAAGCTCAGCTATCATATGTCCATGCACAAACACATTTCATACCAAGATGACCCTGGAACACACATCATGTTGCCTGGATCCCAAAAGGATTTCACACACATGGTAACGAGTAATTACCGCACTCCCTCCCCACTGGCTGTAAACTCCTTGTGGCAAGGACATTGCCTAAAACACTTCCTGGCATAGGGTAAGTGCTCAATAAATAAATGATGAAGGGAGGAATGTATGAATTGCTGATGTGCTTCCACATGGCCAAGATGAATAGCCACCTGGGTCCCTCCTACCTGCAGTGGTCCTCAGGCGGCTCTCGGTGAGCTCAGAGATGGCTCCAGCTGTTGAAGTCTTTTTCAGTCGCACCATCCCTGATGAGGATGTACTTCCAGACTTGTTGAGCATGTCCTCACTACTAGCTCTCTTGAGCTATGAGAGATGGTAGAGGGAAAGAGAGAAGATGAAGAGACACTTCTTCAATAATGAGTGCTGTGAATCAACAATGCATCCAAGCAGAACCATGAGCCCAGTGGTTTAGATACAGAAATGGGGCTCTGAGTAGCATAATTCTGTCAAATGAAAAAATGGAAAGCTAGACAAACCTGTTCCTTTTCACTATTAGGTCAGAGTATTAACTTCCCTGTTTCAAAGAACAGGGAAAGATTATTGTGCACTGTGCTACACTTCAAATACAGTTGTCTCTTCTACACGCAGGGGTTATATTCCAAGACTCCAGTTGATCCCTCAAACCTCAGACAGAACCAAACTCTCTCTATATTTCATTCTTACATAGATCTCAGCAACCTCAGCACATAGTTTTTTTATCTTTCCTTATTAAGTAGAAAACTTTCACCCTCTCACTTAAAGGAAGCACTATATAACATCATATCTGAATTGCTAGCCTCACTACTCTTGCACTTTGGTGCTGATATTATGTAAAATAATAGTTTTTTGAACTCATGCATGAAAATACCCCAACAGGTGATATGATGATACACACAGGTACTAAGTGGCCAATGGGTTGGACACATATACAGCAAATGAATATTATGGATAAAGGGCTAACTTTCATCTTAGACAGGGTGGCTCAAGATTTCATCACACAACTCAGAATGGCATGCCATTTAAAACTTATGAACAGATGATTTCTGGAATTTCCATTAAATACGTTTGAACCATGGCTAAATGAAAATGAATACAGATAAGAAGGGACTACTATAATGAGTGAAAGAACAATGTTTTCCTGGTGAAAAAAAAGAGGGGGACTTGATGAAAAAAGAAGTGTGAGGGTTATGGGTATTATATAGCCCAGTGGTAGAACATATGCCTAGCATGCATGATGCCCTGGGTTCAATCCCCAGTACCAGAAAAAGAAAAAGAAAAAGAAAAGAGAACTATAAAAAGCATAAAATCCAAGTAGGGAAATGAACAAACTACAGCCAGGAGCAGTGGTACACATCTGTAATCCCAGTTTCTTGGGAGGCTGAGGCAAGAGAATTGAGAATTTGAGGCCAGACTGGGCAATTTAGCAAGAACTTGTCTTAAAATAAAAAAGGTCCTGGGAAGGTTGCTCAGTGGGAAAACCCTGGATTCAAACCCCAGTACTGGGTAGGGTGAGGGTGGGATGCTTAATGATAAACACCTAAGTAAACAGAAACAGAGAAGGAGAAGCAATCTGAGTATCTACCATGTGCTCAACACCAAGCACTCTCTATATATCATTTCATATGGAAAATGTGTCCAAAGGCAAGAAAGAAACTTTCTTGGAGGCTGGAAAAACAATGCTAATGGGTGAGAGGAAGAAGGCAGAATCCCTCCACTCTTTTTTGCTTTCTTCCTTATCATGAAAAGGGTAAGAGAAACATTTATTGAAAGGTACTGAAGTCTGAAGACTCCTAAATGAGCTCATACTTTTGGCTCAGATAAACTATGTTTAACATTAATGAAAAAAACTGCAAATAAATTCTCTCAACCACTATTCAGTCTTCTTTAAAGAACACCACTGGAGAGAAACAGATCCAGAAGACTGGAGACAGGCCAATGTTCAGAGCCATCCTAACACCTCTGACATTTGGAGCAGACAGTCTGAAAAGGCCCTCAAATCAATGCAGACACAGGGCAGACAGCCCCTGTCCACCACAATGGCTGAAGGACCAAAGGCCCTGCTCCATCCTCCTTCACTGACTTTCCGAATACAGTATTGAGTTAGTAGTTTAAATATTTACAAATTTTTTTAAAATCCACTTTTGCATCATTTCAAGGAACTCATATAACCACACACTCCCTGAATGGCTTGAAGAAGAAATAAAAAACACCAATACCAAGTGTTGTGAGCTCAGCAGGAACTTGATGCTCTGCTCTTAGGAAGGGCTGGAACAACTGCTTTGAAAACTGGCAGTATGTACACTACAGCTAAATATTTTCACCCTATGCTTCACAGTTCCACTCCTTGGTCTGTACCCAAGAGAAGTAAGTACATAGATTTATCCAAAGAGTGTTATTCATAGCACCTTTATCTGTAACAGTGCTAAACCAGAACAACCCAAATATCCTCCAACAGAAAGACAAATTAAATAGTGATATAGTACATACTGGAAAGTACAAAGCAATTGGAAAAGAATTACTGATACACTAACAAATGAATAGATCTCATAAGTATTATGCGGAGTCAAAGAAATCAGATGCAGCTGAGAATCTACTTCCTAATTCCATTTACATGAAGTTCAAGAATCACAACACCAAACAATGGCGAAAAAGTCAGAACACCAGTTTGCTCTGGGTAAATTACATCTGAGAAGTATTCTGGGTACTAGAAGGTTCTACATTTACATTGGGTGGCAATCACACAAGTTTAGACTTACATAAGCATCCAATGAGCCATATAGCTAAAATTATGACCAGCGCATTTTGCAACTTATGGTATGCTTTATTAAAAAAAAGAAAAAGAGGGCTGGGGAAGTAGCCCAGGGATAGAATACTTGCATGAGGCCCTGGATTTGATTTCTTTCACTACAAAAAGAAAAAAAAGAGAAAGAAAAGAAAATGAGGGTAGAAGCTGTTTGCAAATTGCCTAACACCCTGGTTCCACTCCTGCAAAAGTAAACCCACTTGTTTTAATTTTTTAAAATTTTTATTTGGCAAAATAGGTCTTAGGGTTTACATTTAAAATGTCCTCCAAAGCCTCATTCACTTCCAGGTGGGGCTTTTGGGAGTGGCGGATCATGTGCGATACTGGATTAGTCCTCTGATTGGTTTAGCATGGTTCTGGGTGTGGCTGGATGGATTTACTGAAGACAGAAGCCCAAACCTGTGGCACCAACCAATAGGCTTGTAGCCTGGATGGACTACAAAGGGAAGGAAGACTGGCTGCCTACATGCCATGAACTCTTTTTCCTTTGCCACACTGCCCTGCCTTGAAGCCAGCTGACTGAGCTAAAATAAACCTTTCTTCCTTACTTGTGGGTGTTTGGTATTTTGTCCCACCAACTAGAAAATAACTAAGACAATAAGCATAACATAACACTTACCATTTTAACCACTTTAAATAAATAATTCAATAAAAGAACTAAAACAAATAAATAATTCAGTGGCATTAAATATACTCACAACAATCACCACCATCCATCTCAAGAAATTTTTAATTATTTCAAACTGAAACTCTACTCATTAAACAGCTCTCATTGCTTTAAAAAGAGGGATATTGTTAAAAGTCTTAGTATTACCCAAGCAATCATGCTTAAGGTTTTAAAACACATTATTGATTTTAAAAAATAATATTAAAAGGATACTTTGTGTGTACTTCCAGTTAGATGTCAACATGATTATATTTTCTGGACAACAGCATAGTCCCCTAGTTGAACAACCAGACAAATATAACATGAGTTGACACAGAAGTTGCATTATTGCCCTTCTTATAATGACTCTGTCATCTTTCTATCTCCCATCTCAGAGTGAAAAGCTCCCTTTGCACAAGCTTTCTAACATCTCAAACCATCCATCAAATTACCAGTATAGTATGTGTTCAATATTAAATGACCACAATTCATTAATGTCAGCAGCTTTTTCTCAATAGAAAAAAAAAAGTATTCACGTTGCCAAGAATCATGCCTGGGTGCCTCTCTAGTCCCCACAGGAAAATCAATTCTGATTTTAGGCTGAAAATTCCCAAGATGATACTGCAAATGAAAAGGGGAAACCACTGCAGTTAACAATTCTTAACACAATAGTTGACTGCTGTTCCCTTCTCTGATTATCTTATGCTGATTACTAAAATCAGTAAGTCTGACTTGAAGTGCAGAATTATAAAACTCTCCAGCAAAAGGGCAAGGGCTCAGTCTGCAACCAGAACAGGGATCCAACAAATGATGTCACTCCCATCAGGGCCAGAAGTAAAAGTGCCACGGCTTCCAGTTCCAGCCTCCACCCTGGCACTGTGCTGGGGCGCAGAGCTCTCCCTGCCCACTCTTCCATCAGGGGCTGGTTCCTGGAGGTGTGGAGTTGCAGTGAGACAACAGAGGACAGCTATTGGTAAGCAATGGGAAGACTCACTTTGGGCACTGTAGGATGGCCTGGCCCAGCAACAAAGGTGGCACCAGGGATCAAAAGAATAGCAACAGAAGCCCAGCCTGGGGAAATTAGTGACTTAGGAAGATCCTGTCTCAAAGTTACAAAAAGAATATATATTTCAACAGGGGTGGCAGAAGCAGCAGTGACCAGGATGAATGATCGGTGTTCTTCAGCACTAGACTCAGGACTGGACAGTCTACAAGTGGAAAAGCCGAGAATCCCTGCAAATAAACTCTAAGATACAGCACTTAAGAGTTTATTGTTTTGGAGGATAGGGAGGGAGCGGGGGACGCACAAGGGAGGGATAAGGCATCTCTATGTGCCAGGTTCCCAGCAAGCACACTGGAGGGAGGCAGCCCAAGGGGTAGTAAAGAGTGGGCTCTCAAGCTCTAGAGAAGATACCTCCCCTCCTGGCCACTATGCTAAGGCTGGATCCCCTGGCCTTTGATCTCTCTGTTTCTGTTCCACCACCCTGGACACTATTATTTATTTATTTGTTTATTTATTTGTTTATTTATTTATCCCATTTCTTTCTTTTTTAAAAAATATTTTATTGGCACATTTTAGGTATACAATATAATGACATTCATCATGGGAAATTTGCACCTTTACATAATCACTCTTGGTTCTTATTTTTCCCCCTTCCCCTGGCCTCCCTTCAACCCCGCCATCTCTCCCTATTTACAAAGACTGTTTCCATTTTTTCATTTTCTCATAATTCCATTCCCTTCTTTCCTTTCCCCTACCCCTCCCACTTCCCCTTTGCCCCTTTTCTTCCTATTTCACATTATCTATTATACCTTTTAGTCCTTATTTACACTTTCAGTTTCTCACACTAGAGAAACTATTCAGTATTTACACGT